GCCCACTGTTTAGCGAGCTGCATGAGAAACTGACGGGCTGTCAGGAGAGAGAGGGAGGGAGAGGGGAAAAGAGAGCATCCGTTTCTCCCGTGTTATTATTCAAAGTTAATGTAAACTTTTGAATAATGTACTTCATCTACTACAAGTAGTTTGTTTGAATGTAATAATTATGTTGTTTGTTGTTTGGGGAATCATTTATTGAAAAATGAATCTGAATTTGTTGATCTGTAACGATTATAAACTGAAGCAATATAAAAATGAGCCCCATTAACTGAGTTTTAAACATCAGCATATCCGGTCCTAGTCCGGTGATTACCTGCTAACGGAAACTCTGCTACACAATTATTATTATTATTATTATTGAAACATGACCGGTAAGTTTCAAATTTGTCCTGTAAAGTAAATTCTGTCCCGACATATCCGCTTACATTCATAATGTCAGCCGAGGGAGGGGAAGCGGCGCTGTGGAAGAGCAGAGTGGCGAGGGAGAGCTGTCATCTTCCCTTTACAAGCTTCAAACATGTATTTATCGTGTGATTTTGGAAATAAAAATGTCATATTCTGAAAGCCAAGACTTTGTTTATTTAAAATCAAACAAAACACCCGATCCCCGAAAAACTATTTTTTTACGCAAATCCACGTTTATTTTGAAATGAGCCGTTGCGACTTTCGACTGATTTCGATAGAGCGGGTCACATATGGCAAATGTGTGGTTGGGGGGAACCAGGTCAATTAAAGCACTTATTTAACTATTAAATACATTGAGTTTGAGTAAAATACTTGGTTACTGATTAATTTAGGTTATAATATATGAAATTGCAAAGCAAAACTGCTGTAATTGATTTATTTTGTCCTTTGGTATTTTTTAAAGGTTTTCAACCTGAAAGAATCCTAATGTGTCCTTGAAAAGTTGAAATAAAGAAAAGGAAAAAGGATTCCAGTTGTCCCTCAAGCCTCTCAAATGTGGGCAAACACTCAAATAAATGCCAAAAACCCAGAGAACTTGACAATACTTATCAGAATAAAAGTATGTTAAATAACACTGCTAGTTAATAACTCTACTTTACTCAGTGGAGGCTCGTCCATTGAGGAAAGGGAGGACCATCCTCCCTACAATTTCAGAGAAAAATAAACTTTGAAGAGAACAATAAATACACCTCAATTTAAAAGATAAGTCTGTTAAAATACAGATAATAGCCCTGGCGTTGGGACTGAAATGGGGCTAGAGAGGACGAGCCTGGGCGGGTCTAGTCAGAGGCTCTGGATTGGGCGCCTATATCATCAGTGAACCAATCAGCGGATCTGACTGCGCATCAGAGTGTTGATGGGGAGGCTTATCAGCGATATCAGAGTTTTTTTCTGAACCGGGGAACAGGGGCGCTGCGCCCTCTTACCAAAATCAATTCCTTGAATTAGGCTTTGATTATGTTCTGGCCCGCCATCTTGCGGCTCAGCAAAAAATTGGCCCACGGCCAAACTTACTTGCCTACCCCTGATGTATAGTATTTACATGATCCTTTTTTGTTGCAGAGCTTTAGAGGCTTTAAGAGACGAACTGTCAATGATGCCAACTTGGCGACCTACAAACTAGATATAGCAATCTTGGAGCTATTGCGGCTAGCTACTTTCATTGGAAAGAGTCTCTAATTTTTTGTATGTATATATTTAATATATCCATCCCAAGCTTACCTACCCAACTGAATGATTTCACACATTCAAGTAAATAGAAAGACAGCACAGCATTCAAGTGTTTATTGAGAATTTGAACTTCAACGTTAATGGAAAAAGCTCCAAACTTTTCTCTACAGCCCTTAGTATCAAGAAATCCTTCTAGTTCCTTTTACATGTGGATAGGAAAACAGCACAGATTGTTCAGAATATATGAGGAAGCCATCAGGGAAGCAGCATGACGAGACCCAAGGCAGGACTGCAGAGACAGGTTCAGCCACGACCCGAAGTCCACGACGGGCAGCGTCCGGGAAAACCAAACTTGAAGGTAAGATATCAAATGATGATCTTCATTAATTGCAGTGACAATTTAGTCTATTCTGACATTTGTTTGTGTGAGTTAATCTTTACCTATGATATCTGGTTGCAGAAGGGACTGCAATAGCCTGGATGTTGGTCATCAGAGTAGATGCCCTGCAATTCTCCTCTTTTACCTTTCCCAACATATCCTATGAATAGAAAAAGAAAATATTGTAATTGAATCACACTAGGACCACAACACACTAAATATGTAATGACACATAAACATTATTATCCAGATTAAGAAGCCTACCTGGTTTGCAGTTTTTGTAAGGCTCCAAGCATCCACGGCAGGTGTCAATGGTGTACATGACGTTGAAATCCTGCTTGTATGAAGCAGAGAACAAACTCCATGTAGCAACACCTGTGTAAAACAAGCATTTCAATAGAGCCATTAAAAATATGCATAGACACCACAGCTGTCGTATACTGCTGCACCTTCACTGAATCACTTACTCTCAAGCCAGCGAAAGTGGGCCCCTCTTCTGAAAGACACAGTGGACATTGTGTCTCTGAAGGTGGTACACACTAGAGTGAGTGATGAGTACGCTTTGTCACCTTCCTGGAGAACCACTTCCATCAGAAGGTCCGAGAGAAGACAGTTTGGCAGCTGTGAAGTATTGGTCAGACTAGATCAAACATATTTAACAACACATTGACTAGACTGTTGCCAGCACAATCGAAATACCAAGATTCTTTGGGCTTCAGGTAGCAAAAATACACATTTTTAATATTAATGTTGAATATATCACACACATTTTTCTTATGTTTTGTTATTCTTCTCCTTGAGGTAAAAAACAGCTATCAATAAACTTAAAAAAAGCAGTGAGACATAATAGTTGGAAATTCTGCCGTGATCATAGGTCGTTTTTTAAACAAAAAACAGTTACTGCTTCACTGAAAAGATATTACCTCCAATATGAAGCACATGTCGGACTTTTGAAACTGGACCTTTGAAGGAAAATATAAGGTGTGGGTCATGTGATTGTTTAATTACATGTGTATACAATTATCAATATTGATATGTATGCATGTGTTAAATAATCTGGATTGTTACATTTCTTTATCACAAACAGGAGTGTGCCTATTGACCTCATGTTCTGTCTTTTGCTTCTTTGAGACCCTGTACACTGGCTCCAGTGCCCCTTTGAGCAGCTCTTCGGCCTCATTGGTCCAGTAAGAAAACCTCTGTCCGTGGCTATAAAAATCACATAATATCAGGATGAAAATGTAAATCAGTGTCAAAGAAACTGTTGTCTATAAAGTAACATTTAAAATGTATGATTTACCCTTCAATCTGGTACCGTTCCATGAGCATAATGCACCACCATTTCCGGATCTGTGCTATGTCCCGCTAAAAGAAAATGTAACAATAATAAAGTTGAAAATGAATGGAACCTCATCATTTGTCTACTCAATGTTAGCCCCCTCTTCCCCCTGAAATACTAACTCAGAGGATAAATACTGACCTCGGTAAACCAAAGTGGAGCATCTGTGCTGAAGTTGAGTGCATACTGTGAAAGGATAAAGATCTGTTAAGTTATGAGTTTCAAAAACTAACAAAACCCCTTAAAAAAAAGTGTCAAGAGAGGAATTTACCATCAGTATGAAGACACCACAGTCATTGCCCGTGGTTTGGTGAGGCAAACCCTGTAAGAATTTGGAATATAACAGTGATGTTCATGGTCAAATGGAAAATAAAGACATGTGAAAGCAGGTGTATGAGATGGTGGAGAAATGTACCTTGACGTCTCTGCCGAACTTTACTGTCCACTGACCTGGAGCAATGCGGTGCACTAGGTCACTGTCAAAAGAAATGATAAGACATGGGAATTGATTTGGTGAAGGAACGCTATACTCAATATAATTCATGTTTTTGGATTTCCTTACATTGAACTATTGCATGCCTTAAAAGAGGAAAGTTATGAAAGCCACTGAACGGGGCTAAAATAAAACAAACAAAAATACGTTTACCAGCCTCTGAACTTGAAAACAACCTTTGAACAAGGCTTATAACAAAATGAACATTATAATTCATAGCATCCTGTTGCAGACTCTTTTTCTTTTGGTTCCACTAAGGGCACTCCAGACTTTGTGGAAATGGAGATATATTATAAATGAATTTGATCAGATTCAGACCCCTGGTCTACAAGATGGTTACTGCAGTATTAGAATACTATAAACTATTTAGAACTCCCATACAAGCCACAGAACGGTGCGGGTAATCATGTTACAAAAACCTAAATATGTCCTTGTAGGAATTGTCCCCAAAGCCATCTGGCTTAAGAGGGTCGAGCAAATATAACTCTCTCTTTGCTGGCTTGATCACCTGTCAACCATTGACAAAATAGCTGAAATTAGACATAATCAAACACCAGAAGAAAACCACACAGCACAACTTATGTTCATTTTGTACATGCTGGTGAGATCATTTGGAACAGACTCACGCAAAGCAAATAGTGATCTGCCTTTCCTTGCTGCCGACTCCAGGCAGGGATGAAAACCATGTCCTTGGTGGCCAATTGGTCAGCCTAGTATTTTAAACAAGGGATTTTAAGTTGCTGTATATACATTTCAAGAAACATAGGTCTCAAGCAACAGGAACTTACTGGAAAACTGGCCAACGCGTCAGCTGTTTTGGACTTCCAGGTAGGAACCACATACATATCCACGATGTATATATCTTTGCCCTATATTGATAGTTTTTCAAAAAAAATGAAATCTTCATAGAAGTATGTTCAACAACAAGAGACAACCACACTTCACGAGATTGGAGTTTCACCACTAAACAGCTATTTAGAAAATATGTGTTATTCAAAAGAAAAAAGCAGGCCAATGATGTCTGTTGAAAACCGTACATGTCTTTGGGTGGCTTCTTGTACCATCTTCAGGCACGTGTTTCCAATCTGAAACAGTAACAACAGTAAGTTACCTGTGCCATTTATTTGAGACAAGATGAAGTTGGGAGGAAAGCTCAAGTATACCTACATTTGACTCCATGCACTGAGGAAGACCCAGGCTCCAAAAGTCCTCTCTGGTCAGGCACACATCACCCTCCTTCACAATGACCTCTGCTCCAGGCCTATTGTGGTCTAGCACATAGCTGAGCTGCAAATAACAGATTGCAAAACATACTTCAAGCCAATAGAAAACATAGACAAATTAAAATCAAAACAATGCACCTCCATCACTGTGCATGAAGTAAACATATATCTACCAGCTTGTCTTGAATCGGATGTAGATCCTTTGCGTATTTCGCACCAGAGAGGGCATACTGGTGGTCAGTAACTGACCCCTCCGAATCCAACTTCGGTTCAGCTGTTATTAGATAGACAAAAAATAAACAGTATTATTGAAGTACCACACATGAAGTATACCTAAAATGTGTCCTTGTATTGATAATCAAAATACCTCTCAACATAGGCCTGATAAAGGGCTTCAGCTGAGACACATTCACACTCTGTCTCAGCTGAGCTCCTGTTGAGCTCAACAGGGTTGCCACACCCTTGTTGGTGATTGAGGAAACCACATAAGGGCCAAACCAGTTGCACTCCAGTTTTCCACCTTTTCGGCCCTCCTTCCTCTTATTCGCTCTTAGGACCTCATCTCCAACGTTAATCAGGAAAGATTTCACATTCTTTCCTTTGCGTTTTTCAAAAGAGATTTTCTGTCTCTGTTGTGCTATTTGGATGTTCTGGTAAATCTGAGAAAGATATGTAACAGTTATCATTTACAGTCCTTAACATACGCTTGCATTTTTTAGGAGTTATTATGTTTTAAATATTGCCATTTTATTCTCACCTTCGAGTGCAAATCTGCAATGGTTGCAGCCTTTGCCTCAAGCTGCTGTTCTGCCTCATCAGCAGGTGTCAGTACCAGATATGTTCGGGTGTATTTCCGTCGCATCCGTCATCCGTCATATACTCACCTCCCTCTGCTCCCAGCGCTCTGCTGCCACACACCGGCCGTCTGCGGAACTGCAGCCGGAGGAACTCGGGACAGCTTGTTATGTGTGGGGTGCTATGGTGGGGTCCCATGTACTTGTGCACATAAATAATGTTTCTAATGATTTACAATTAAAAAATATATATATTCTGCGTTACTTTAGCCAACACTTTTATAAGGCCACTAGATTAGATAATTACGAAATGTGTAGATAGAATACATATATTTCAGGTTGTTATTTTGTCATTATGTTTAATGTTTTATTTACCTTTTAGTATTTTTATATAGTATCTGAACTTTGGAAAGGAGTTGGGAGACACACGACACATCAAATCACATCTACAGATCAAGGCGAAGCGAATGGATGTACTCCCATACTCCTAGCGTGAAAATGTTTGTGAAAACGTGTGCAAAGTCTCCGAAAATCCTAAAAATAAGCTCATATTTGAATTCCCCATAAAAAAAAAACACATCATTCAGTAAAAACAAGGCCCCGCTGATCATCTACTCTCTGAGACGATTCCATGGATGTCTGGCTTGAGTTTCGGCCACCAGGGAAAGTGGACAAAAGTGCCCGAGATCAGCCTCTTAATTTACCCAGGGCCTAGTGCTTGGCTTTGGGCATGAAAATTCAGGAAACTCCCCTGAGTATTTTATTAAATATCTGAACTTTGGAGAGGAGTTGGGGGACACACGACACATCAAATCACATCTACAGATCAAGACGAAGCTAGTGGACGTACTCCTAGCGTGTGAAATGTTTGTGAAAAACGTGTGCAAAGTCTCCGAAAACGGAGCAGTGGCTGTGATGCTAGCTTTGCGGCTAGCGGTTAGTTGTTATTGTTTGAAGTTGTTGCTATGGAAACAACATGACGGAGAACAAATTAATATCTTCTACATATAATAACGGACAAAGTAAAGAATGAAGTGTAGGCTATGCCTGTTTGAAGTTGTTGCTAAGGAAACAACATGACGGAGAAAAAGTATAATCTTCTACATATAATAACGGACAAAGTAAAGAATGAAGTGTCGGCTATGTTTAAATGTTCGGAATTTGACCGTGATGGCCCTCTTGAGTTGCCGTAAAATATGACGAATATGACGGATGACGGATGCGACAGAAATACACCCGAACATATCTGGTAGCCCGAACATATCTGGTACTGACACAGGCACCAAAACAGAGGTATCATCCCTGTCATTGACTGTAGCATTTATAACACCCGGGACACGAGGGTGCCTCCCAAACTGGGCAAAATAGGGCGTGCACTTGGTTGACCTCTGAAAGCATAAAAATTCCTTTTAGTATCTCTGTTGAGTATTGTTTCCATCTGCATTTATTACAACATTGTACCTGCTTTGAGGTGTTAATGCTCGCCACAATGCCCCTCAGATGTAAATCCCAGTCATTCTGGTCCTCTCCACAGTACTTTGCAAGTGCTTTTTTTATGTTTTGGTTTCTACGCTCATCTTGGCCATTGCACTGGGGATGGTACGCTGAAGTGATGCAGTGTTTTACACCCAGTGCATCAAAAACACCACGGTTGACCTGCAGATGGTTTAGTGTACACCAATTACCAAATTACCTGAAAAATCGTATTACATTGTTACACATACACTGTATTAGATAGATTATTGTACCTCATTGACAAATTCCCGTCCTTGGTCGGTAATGATCTTCTCGACAAGACCGAAATCGAGAAGAATATTTACAATCTTTTTTGAGACCTCAACAGCTGTTTTGTGGTAGAGCGTTTTTGCTACCACCCACTTCGTGAACAGATCAGTCGCTGTTAGAATGTATCTGCAATATAAAATGCAGAATGTTGTAAATACATACAGAATCACTGTAAATGATTTCCTTTCTTTTTAAACCAGATTCTTCACGTTTAGAACCTTTAAAGGAGGTTACACATGCTTCAGCCCATCATGATAGTACCTTTTGCCCTTAGCAGTGGAGGGAAGTGGGCCAATGAGATCCACACCAAGGACAGTCCATGCCTCGGGAACATGAATGGGATGCAGTACGGGTGCAACCGTTTTAATGACCTCGTGTTGCTGGCAGCGGGGACACTCATCAACCTTAGCAAATATCATACATTTTCAATCAGCAAAACAAAAAACTTTAGGTATAAAAATGATAGAACAGAGAAAACTTTCAGAGGAGACAGAATTAAACGGTTAAAGTTCTGAAATATGTTTTCTCTGCTCTGATGGAGCTCAAACTGTCTCACTCTGTTTCAATGTACACATACAACACATTTCTGTAGATCAATAATCAGTCAGTCAGTCAAAAACTCCCACCCATTTCTTCACGTCCTCCCGCATAGTGGACCAGTGGTACGTTGCCAAAACCTTCTCGGTGGTGCGCCTTCTCCCTGCATGACCTCCGGAACCCAGGTTATCATGGCACTCCTTCAGGACATTGATAATTTGGTCCTTGGTGCACACAACCATCCTCTCATTGTCCTTGTATGTGTAGTACAAATCTCCAGCTGGCACAACAGGAACAAAAAAACAATCATTTAGAATGTGTAGAGATGACATTATGACTAAAAGCTGTTCAAGAAATCCAGTGGCAAATGTGGTTTAGACGTAACAACTACAGTAATGTAAAGTGTGTATAAAAAGAAAAAGGAGAAACAAGCTGTGGAGTCCTTGCGATTTACTGAAAAATGTTGGAATTGCAATATGATAAACCATTAGAGGTATGATCACTTTTGCACCAAAAAACACCATTAGATAAATAGATATATACTTTATTGATCCCTATAAGTAAAGGGATGTGATGATGTCACATGTACAGGGGGGTTACCTCATAATAAAAACGTATGTTCGTGACTTAACCATGGTCTTATTCTGTTACTTACCTTTGATCAGGTATTGTTTGGATGCCCTCCGAATGAACGCCTTCCTTTTATCATGCTTTTCAGCGGCGATGGTGAGATTGTGGTAACCACCATTGAGCACGTACTGCTTTATCTCAGCATAAAAGCTCTCCATTTCTGTCATGAAAGTTAAAATGTTCGCGGTCATTATGGGGAAGCGGAGGGATCTAGATCGTTCACACATAACAAGCTGTACCGAGTTCCTCCGGCTGCAGTTCCGCAGACGGCCGGTGTGTGGCAGCATAGCGCTGGGAGCAGAGGGAGGTGAGTATATGACAGATATGACGGATGACGGATGCGACGGAAATACACCCGAACATATCTGGTAGCCCGAACATATCTGGTACTGACACCGGCCCACTTCTTCCTCCAGACTGTTGTTCTGCTCCAGCACTGTTGTGCTACGGCTTGGTTCGGCCCGACGCGAAGAGGAGTGTCGACAACCCCATATTGTATAGATATTCGTATATCACGGCCTGAAGTGAGCTATTGCATTTATAAAACGGTTACCACGTGTGGCTGGCAATGAGAAAGAAAAATACACACTCCAATTTAAATATTTTGTATTATTAAATAATGATGTTCAAAATAAAATAGTCCCTCCGTTGCCTTCTGCACAAAACATAGTGCGAGGTGGTTGCTATGCAACAACCATAACAGCTAGAGAACATATTAGACAGACAGCATTGTCGTCGTTTAGGTGCTTTTTTTTCTGGAGATAGGCACTTCTCAATCCACTCCTCCATAGTAAGGCCACCCCGGAGGTCGAAGTTAACCTTAAATGTTTCCATTTTAAGCTTTCTTAGTTAGTTAGTTTCGTGACGGACGTAATGTAACAGTTGCAACGGTTCTCAGACGCGGAGGGATACTGACTTGTGAAAAGTAACTACAATTATATCCGGGATATACGCTCATTATATCACGGCTAAGAAACATCAGATTGCTTGATTTGACTTGTCCGTTTTATAAACATATACTAACTGTGCTTACCCCCCCCCAAAAAAAAGTTGTACAGCGAAGTGAAGTACATGTTATGTTATAAAGCCGTGGAGGGCGGGAGTTTATAAACCAAAGAGTAACCGCCCTTACGGGACGCTGTAATAAGTAAAGCGAACGCACCCGCATGGACACCTGGCCTCCTATTGGTTGAGGTATTTTGACAGGATTGTTGCACAAAAGTTTCGAGCGCGCACAGAATAAATCTGAGAGCAGAACAAATCTGTAAACAGCAATATATCTGAGTGCAAGCGTACAGTTTGAACACAAGCAGAGCAAATCTAAGTGCAAGCAGGCACTATTTGAGTGCGAGGACAGGGTTTGAGGGAAATAAATACATAAAGATAGGGAATAACCCCCATAACCTGGGGGGACAGAGCCTTCTCCGTCGCTGCCCCCTCCCTCTGGAACTCACTCCCCCAACCCATCAGAGACTGCACTGACCTCACCACCTTCAAAAAACTCACAAAAACTCACCTCTTCAATCTGGCTTTTAATGTGTGATTGTTTTTGTATTATTTGACTTTAACTTTAACTATGTATTTATTTGTTGTTCCTTCCTTTTCTTTTCCCTTCACTATATCTGTAAAGCGTCTTTGAGCACCTGTAAAAGCGCTAACAAATTAAATCTATTATTATTATCTGTCAAAGAGGTGGTGGATCACTCGCCTTGCGGGGAATCGAACCCCGCTCTGCTGGTTCACAGGCGGTTGAAAGCCTTTCATCAGTTTCCGTAGTGTAGTGGTTATCACGTTCGCCTCACACGCGAAAGGTCCCCGGTTCGAGACCGGGCGGAAACACATTTATGGCTCCACATATACCAAACAAAAAAGATTAAACAGGGAAAGGTCCCCGGTTCGAGACCGGGCGGAAACACATTTATGGCTCCACATATACGAAAGAAAAAAGATTAAACAGGACCTGTTAGAAAACTGCCAATATTTCGAAAAAAGTGAAAGTATTGATTCTCATTTCTGGAGTGACCATCCCTTACTGGGAGATTTCACAAGTCTCAATAGATCTTCAATGAAATCCTAAATTAAATGTATGAAATCTGCTTTATGTGTGGTCAGGAAATGTATAACAGCAACATGGAAATCTGACTCTCCTCTGCAACTTATACAGGGGCACCATAGAGAGCATCCTGAGCTTCTACAGGTGCACCATAGAGAGCATCCTGAGCTTAGGTGCACCATAGAGAGTATCCTGACCTTCTGCAGGTGCACCATAGAGAGTATCCTGACCTTCTATAAGTGCACCATAGAGAGTATTCTGACCTTCTACAGGTGCACCATAGAGAGGATCCTGACCTTCTGCAGGTGCACCATAGAGAGTATCCTGATCTTATAGGTGCACCATAGAGTATCCTGACCTTCTATATAGGTGCACCAGAGAGTATCCTGACCTTCTATAGGTGCACCATAGAGAGTATTCTGACCTTCTACAGGTGCACCATAGAGAGGATCCTGACCTTCTGCAGGTGCACCATAGAGAGGATCCTGACCTTCTACATGTGCACCATAGTTAGTATCCTGACTGGCTGCATCAAGGCCTGGTATGGCAGTTGCAACAACCTCAACCATAAGACTTTACAGAGAGTGGTGAAAACTGCACAGCACATCACCTGGACGGAGTTGCCATCCATGGAGGACCTCTACTCCCAGCGGTGTTTTAATGTTGATTCTTTGCAAAACAGACTGGTCAAACATCAGTGTTATCTTCCATGCATGGCCTGAAACATTGGAAGCATCTTTACACCCTTCAAATGTTCATTGTATGGTAAACATGTCGTGTCTTTCTGAGGTGGTCCTTGTGAGTGACATTGTATCTTTCAAAGAGGTTGTGGATCACTCGCCTTGCGGGAATCGAACCCCGCTCTCTTGATTGACGGGCGGCAAAAACCCTTTCATCAGTTTCCGTAGTGTAGTGGTTATCACGTTCGAGACCGGGCGGAAACACATTTATGACTTATATGGCTCCACATATACCAAACAAAAAAGATACAAAAGTGACCACTGTTTGAAAACTGCCAGTATGTTGAGAAAAGTGAAAGTATTTATTCACATTTCGAGGGTTTCCATTCCTTGGCTTTTGTTCTGACCACGTTGTGGAGAGAGTGTAGACATTTTAATATAGTCACATAGTCCTGTACCTTGTATCTGTGATCTGGCTGATTGTGATTCCACAATGGTAGTAGGCTATGTGTAGTTTTTTTTCAATGTATAGAGTCCCTGAAGGCATCAGACAGATGACCGACTGTCCCCGAAGGCACCGTGGAAGACGCGCCTTACGTAGCAGTCACGTGTTTGCGTCAACAGAAACAAACATGGCGCCGCGAAAGTGAGGAAAACTCTGATGTGAGTGTGATGTTTCTACTCCGATTATTATGCGGTTTGTTGTTGTTTCACGTAGCAGTTTAACAAATAAACACACAAACGGAAGACGTTTAAAGGAAGCTTTACCGATAATTGTGTGCATTTATCTGATTTCAGTCGTTTTGGGCTTCTCATTTAGTCTTTTTATTTACACTTAAGTTATTGTTGAAGGTCCAAGTTCGTATGTCCCAGACAGATGAGAGGAAAAAAAAAAAGACAAGTCATCTTCATCTTGTTCATCGTCATCATCATCATCATCATCATCATCATCAGGTAACTGCTCCGACAAAAGCACGTTTTTTAAATCAGAATCCTTAGTTCATGCCCATATTAATAAATACAAATCTTGAAAAAATAATAATTGTGTCTTATGAGGCACACCACTTGATTACCGATATATCGTAAATTACTTTTACAAAAATATTTTACTAGAGGAGTAATGTTCTTATTTGTTTAAGAGTCAACACGGTGTCTTGTTTAAAACAAATAAGAACATTACAAAGAGTATATTAGTTGTTTCCACATCTTCAACGTCCTGTATTTTAGTGTTTCTTTTCCATTTTATATGAATATCTTCAGGAAAAATCTGCAATCGATTTCACATTTCATGTGACACAGTTGCTCCAAATTGTATTTATGTTTTTATTTACTTATACTCTACCATCAGCAAAAAAAGTTACCTGACATATTCACACTGTCTAATTATTATTTATTTGACCCCCCATTTAAATCATTTGGTAAAGAATTCCATACTTTAACTCCAACTAAAGATCAATCAAATCAATTAAGCCTTGTATAATTACACTGTACAACTATTTATATTAGATTGTATTACTGATTGTATTTTTTTTATATAAAAATAGTAATACAAATGTTTTTTTTGAACATCAGCACAAACGCTTGGTGTTGAGAAACTGTATTGGAAACTACTGGATTATGAGGAAAATGTAACTCTTGAAGTCTCTTCTGTGTCTTTTCTTGTATCAAAGTTTCTTAGGAGCCGACCAAGATGGCTCTAAGGAAGCAAATACTCAAGGATACCAGCGACATTCCCTGTGGAAGCCAACAGGTAGACAACAACTCACAGGAGGAGGAGGACGACGAAGACAACAATGTAAGGAAATGTGAACATTAGTTAGAATTAGCTGAGATAAATACAGGTTCATATGTCTAAATCCAGCGTCACTGAAGCAGTTTTTAATAGTACATTAGCAGGTGGAGGTTCATTTAAGTTGCAAGCAGCTGTTTTCTACCCATATTTTCCTGAATTTAAATTAATAGTTGGATTAAAGCTTGACATTTTTCTCTGCAAGTTGCCTGTAGTTTCTATTTTATCTTAAACACTCACACAAAAAAACAAGCAGATGTGATGATTCAGTTGTGGCTAAATAGTCAATTGTGAGTGGTGGTTTTATGATGATTTGCACGCTAAAAAAAGACTGAGTTACACCTCAGAAGACACAGATCCAGAAAACCTAAGACTTCCACGAAATGAACCGCACTAATTCTGTTTGTTTGTTCTTCCAGGAGGAGCTCTCATCATCACTTCTGTCGTCATCAACAAGAAAAAAACGCAAGATAGAGAGGGAAAACAAATCCAAACAAGGTACATCACAGTTAGGGTACCAACGTCATTTCAAAAACATTGAGTGTATGTGCGGCGTAAACACTGGGTAAGATTGAACAATTGAAGAATGGCAGATATAAAGTGAATTGAGCTAGAAATGATCAAAAGAATTGAAACACACACATGTTATTACTGTGACAAACAAAACAAAATACTACTGCTACTATTATGTTTCTTAAAATTATGGATTTTTCACATTATCTTGTAATAACATTCATTATTGAAGCTCCTGAATCTCTTTGAGATGCTATGTCATTCTCAAAATGGTCATGTATATCGACAAAATTAAGAATCTAAAACCATTTTCTTTATCAATATGTGATAAAAACAACCCTGATTTCTGACTCGTGTCTCTGTTGTCCTCAGAGATGACGGAGGAGGAGATGATGGACTTGGCTCTGCGTCTGAGCGAACAGGAAGCCAGCGTCACGGCGCTCAGACAGCAGCAAGAGGAGGAGGCCATGATGAAAGCCATCCAAGAGAGCGTGAGGATTTTTTTTTTAATCCTCCCTTTTATAAAGGTTTTATACAGAGGAGGGAACCTTACATAAGTTTGAATAAATACATTCATAAATAAAATAAATAAATACAGCATAAGTGAATAAATGTGGAAATAAATAAATACTGGAATAAATAACTAAAAGAATAAATACATTTGGAAATAAATACAGGAATAATTAAATGCGACAATGATTACATTCATAAATACATTTGGAAATAAATAAATGAATAAATAAAAGTTGAAACGGAACACATATTATTATCTTAAATATGTTTCTACATTCTACTCACTTCATCTAACAGGGAAAGACATGCAGAATTTACTAGAAGCTGTTCCTGTTTGTATCTGAGGATGAACAGAAAACTATCATTGTATTATTTTAGTTAGATAATAATAAATCATGACTGGGAAGAGGAATCAATCTTTGACACTAATTATTTCAATCTAGTTGAAATAGCTAATATAGTATCTAGATAATTATTTAATACCTATTTGTCTTGTTTGTTTCTCACAGATTGTCAGTCAGACACAACCCAGCCCGGTGTCCCAGAGTCAGAGCCTGCTGGACGATGCAGAGGCTTCACCCGGCGCCTGCTCCCGACGGAAACTCCTGTACTCAGGCGGGAAGACGGCGTCTGCCATCGACCAGGGAGCGTCAGCGGACATCCGTACAGCAGAGACCGACCTGAACCAAGGTGAGTCTGTCACATTACTACAGAACTACACTCTAGCTATTGTGCATATGACAAAAAAGCCTTTGAATTGAATCTTGAATCAATGTAGTCACAGAAGGAAAGTCTTCAGGGTTTATTTAAAGAAATCACAGCTTCCAAATCCACACGTCACGTGGCGGTCCACTACCAACTTAACACTTATCGACACTTTAAATTGGATTTAGTAGAATAACACATTATCACACAATCACAGGGTTGAACGCTTGATAGTATATACAACCGTCTTGACAACACAAACATTTACTATACATATTTATACGTCTAAATGGCTCTTACAGTGAGTTTAATAAGACTTACCATTGCGATAAAGTTGTGTTTTTTTTTTATTTTGAGATGTTTATATTTGATGTTTGTGTCTGTTTATTTTGTACTCCTCTTCATTTTCACATTGTCTGCAATGCCTTGTTTACATGCTACTGTAACGAAAATACTTCCCAAATTGAAATCAATAAAGTTTATCTTATCTTCAAACATGCTGTATTGTATTTTCAGGAGCCAAAGGAACTGGAGGTGAACGTAATACCTTGAGAAAAAAGTTGAAAAGGAAAGAAGGAAGCCCTCTGCTGGAGATGCCAGATTTGTCACAGTCTCAGAAAATCTCCGCTCAGGATTCCCCCGGCAGCTCAGACTGCCTGTCAGCGCCTCTGGACTCCCCACAGGTCGGATAAACTCATTTCTACCCTATTTATCCTTAGATTGATCCGTTTATTTGGTTATCTTTTGGTTGTTAATTCAATTAGTAATCTATTCCATGTCAGAAAACGTTGCTGGTCAGTTTCTAACGTCCTTAGCTCATGTCTTTAAATGCCAAACTCAAAAATATACAATTAAGCAATTATAATTGAACATTTCTCATCACAAATATCCCAGAACACAATGTGATATTTTTTGCCCAGTTTCCCCACCGTCCACAACCCAAAGACGTTCAGTTACTGACAATGAGACAACTCACATTAGAGAAGATATAGACACAAATCTAAAATACATTATCAAAATATTTCACTATTGGTTTCTCTTTTTTAGCCTTAGTTTTTTATTTTTTATTATTATTGCCATGACAGTTTATCTTCTTTGACTGTTTTTATGTATCAGAATCTGAATCAGCATTTCTTTAGAAGTCCCGCATCATGGAAATGTACAACGTTATAGCAAAAGGCAAGCAATAATAAAATGAAGACAAATAAGTACTCATCCATGGCTAAACAATTAGTAGCATCATTTAACAAGTAAGTGTACATATTAAGGTTTGAGATGCTTTAAAATGTATGTTTTGCACCTAGAAATTATTATGTCATAGTAGAATTCCTCGTATGTTTTAACCTACTTGGCAATAAACCTGTTTCTGATTCTGAATCAGAGCTCCGACTCGACCCAGATCGAGGACTGCCAGCCCCCTAAATCCCCCGTCTTCCCCTCGCCGGGCTGCAGAGCCAAGGTCCTCGTCCCGCGGCTGAGCCAGGACCTGCTGCAGACCTGCAGGAGCTCAGGTTTTGTTTTGTGCTCTCAGGACACTTTGACCTCTCCACGCAAGAGCCCGACGTTCCCAAAGAGCCCCAAACTCTCCAGTAAACTCTCCATTAAGCCCCCACTGTGCAGTAGTCCTCTCTTCTCCGACCTCGATGAGAGAGACGATGGAGAGTATTTTAAAAGTCCAGTGTTTGGCTGGAATACTCAAAACAAGACGTCTGCAAGTGCCTGCAAACCTCAAGACTGTAAATCGGGGTTCACGTTTTCCTCCCAGGATAGTTTAACCCCCTCTGTGAGGTCCACTTCCTGTCCGCCCAAGAGCCCAGTATTCCCAAGATGTCCCGGCCTTCCCAATAACCCCCATTCCTCGGAAAGATCAGCAACCTGCAGGAGTCCTGTGTCCTCAGAGTCCGACGGAGGACAGGCAGAGCAGAGTCAGGGATTTTGTAAAAGCCCAGTGTTCGGCAGGACTGGACAACGAGAACATATGAATATTGATGTGCAGACACACTCCTCGGGTTCAGGAAGTGAAGGGAATTCAACCCCTACCAGGGATTCGTCTCAGAGTCTGGTGAGTTCAGGCGCAAGACAAGTAGGACGGAATAATGTGAATCCTCGTAGCTTCATTTAAAAAAGAAAATAAATACATAATATTCAATTTACCGACAAAACTTCCAATGAATGATGTCGCTTAGGAGGCTAAACTTGGCTCGTCATTGTGACTCTTACCCAATAAGCAGTCGGTACTGAGGTTAAGTTTCACAATGTTTGATAAAGAAAATTATACAAACAATAACCAAAGTAGAAACATACGGTCAACAAAATGATCCGAACCAAATCACCTTCTTTTTCCAATCACACAACAGGTGGAGTAAATACCTTAAACCATACCCAGGGGCCTCATTTATAAACGGTGCGTACGCTCAAAAGATGGCATACGCAGTTTCTACGCAATGTTTGCTATTTATAAAAAAAAAAAACTTGACGGGAAAATGTGCGGTCCTCCACAAAAACGGGAGAGACGAGAAACTGCGACACCGTTGGCAGAAGGGAGAATGGAGAGAAATATGTGGAAATAATACCATAAATAGAATGTTACCTCTCATTTATCATATATGAAGAATTCATTTTCACAAATTGATTAAAGCCAATCTTAAAATGATTTAACAAACGCCTGTTTGAGACTCCTCAGTGCACACAGAAACATATAAATAAATACGGAAATGTTATTGATCACCCCTCAATTATGTTCTCTTGTTAAGAAATGTATTCTCATAAATGATGCGGTAAGGACAGAATTACTTTAAACTGACGCCGTTTTGCATTTCTATAGGTTGTATAGATACGAGCATGGTTTAATATACTATCATGTTTAATCATGTTTTATGCCGTTCGCCAATAGCCTACTTGATAAGTCGCTCGTAAAACACAGGAGGTATGGAAACTAAGAACACCATATGTGGTAGATTGTACAGCTAATATAACACAACACATTAGTTGTATTTCCTTTAACTGGTGGATTATGGAAATATAGTTGCTGATCGACAGCTGGGACACAAACCACCAAATACAAAAAACATAATTCAGATCCAGTCGTCATGACTCCACTCCGGAGGGATTCCCCGATCATTTCTTACAGTCTCTCATCAAGGGGGGGTCTCCTGTCCCCGGTACAAACACACTGCCTGAGGAAGGCTATGTGTATTTGTTTTGTCATTAACCTTTTTCGGACCACTTATTTATTTATTTTGGTGACGATCCGACCTCCATGCTGCTACTCTGGTTCAAACGGCATCCACCAAACAATATGATTTATCTCGACCTCCCCAAAATAACCAAAATCTGACACGGTGTGAGATGTCTTTTTTAGCTGTTCTGTCGTCATTTCCTGCGATCTTCTTCATGCAGTCAGTCAAAATGAATGGGCGTTTCTTTGACTATTTATAGGCAAATATGGGCGTTACGTGAAGCCCGCAAAAGCTGCACCGCATTTCGAGTTGATTGTGATTTATAAAGGGAAACCGGCGTAGGACGTGCCGCACGCACGTCCTACGCCGGTACGCAGTGTTTTTTTAATCGGAAAATGTCTGTACGTATTTATTTGCTTTGTCCTACATAAGCAACCTTCCCACGTGAATCCTACGCAAGGCTTTATAAATGAGGCCCCTGGTGACAATTGCTGGAAGTAACTATTTGTGGTGTAAACAAATGATGATAATAATTGAAACAATCAACAACGGCACATTTATTTTGTCCCACATTTATTTATTTTCATCGTGTTTCAAAGCTGTGTTACTGCACAGTTGCAGATAAATATACAGATACACTATTATCATTAGATTCATATTATTTATAGGATTAGATTTCAGTGGTTGATTGTTTCTGAATATTTCCAATAACTCCGGAGCGTAAAAAATGTATTTAGATAGATGTTATCACAACATTCTTTTTATCTAACAAAATCGACTTCTTTCATTGGTTGGTTGATGTTTAGCCTTTATTGGTGAAGCTCTAAAAAATACTTTTATTATACAGTGATAAATAACTAATAAAAGGATTACTCACTATCAGCTTCATGTCAGCAGCAAGTGGTCCTGCTGTTATAGAGCCTATTTTTGTTTGGTTTATTTTATGTTGTTTATATTTAAATACTGAATTCAATTGTATGGGTAGCCTCGGGTTTAGATGAAAGTGTAATTTGCTCTTGTTGTTTTAAAGTTGTAATATTTAAACATCTGTTCTGAAAACTTTTTTTTTTCTTGCTTTTGAATATAGGACAGCAAGCCAGACCAAAATCCTAATCTCAGGTTGAATAAGGCATTTCTGTCAGGTACAGTGAAACATCATTTGGAGGTTTATTTTCCTAAATGCTTTTTAATGTCCGGTCAGGAAAAGTCAGAGCCTTTTCTTCAGTGGCTCTCTGTTTTGTGGTTTCAGATAACGCAGAGCATGAAATATGTAAAGAGGGAAACTCGGCAGAGTCGGAGCTGACCAGCGATATGGTGTTACTCTGGTCTGGAGAGGACGACGACGTCACGGTACAGAGCCTTCCTCCCTGTTGCAAACCAGAATTCAAATGTTGTCCAAAATATATAGACTATATATAAAACTAAAAGCTGTGTTATCAAATACGTACGATTAAACTTTATTTGGTGGCAAAAGAGGGCAAAAGCTCTTTTAATAGTAAAGGTTGCTGACCCCTGTACTAGAGCAACAGATATGTATTCAAACGTGAATGAAAAGTCACCATTTCTCACATCCATCCCTCCCCTCCAGCCGACGGGGTCTCACAGCCCGGTCTTCCCAGAGGAGAGACCTCTTCATCAGGCAGAAAGTGAGACCGCCCCCCCGAACCATGTGACTGCAGCTTTTCCAGGGACGAACAGCAGGTAGAGGAACAAACAACCTCATGAGAACACACTCTTAGCTTTTAATGTAACTTAAGCAGTCAGACACATTCAGTAAGTAAAAGCATCACTTGTCTATTTAAAGAGTTGAGGGAGGTCTCTTTACAGTACCATAATGCTTTATTGTCTGATCAAGTCTAACATTTTTCTGCCATCACAGCAGCTGCATTTGCAACATAAACAATGACAACTAGTTAAAACAGTAAACAAGGGAACAGACATTTAACCAACCAACATAACATCACTAAATACAACATGTTGAAGACCCTTGAACCTACATTTGATCTAGGATTAAACTTTATATTTCATTTAAAGATTGACAGGAGTGCTTTAGTCTAACTTCATTAAATCTCCAATTTTATGGCAACAATTCATGTTCGCTGTTCAGGACATGGCTGGGGTCATAGACACTTTTATTTGCAAGCCTCATTATATTATAACTGTTATGCTCATTATAACTCTGTTTGTTTTGGCACTCAGACCTTCTACCTCTCCCACATCAAGCGGCCGTCAGCAGCTTGTAGCCACAGAGCGACGTTTACAGCCAATCAACAGTGAGCCTGCAGAGGGGCCGACAGTGAGCTACTACTGGGGGGTTCCCTTCTGTCCACGAGGCCTGGACCCAGACAAATACACACAGGTGAAGATTTGTTTAAAAAAAAAAAGAATGAACAGTTACAAAGTGTTATTTCAGGACAGTTTTTAACCATCGTAATGGTTCCTGGTTGCATCTTAAATGTAAGGAATTATTGCTTTTCTCTGATTTCGTAACTTGGGCTCTACAAGTGTCATTTGTTTTCATTCGAAGCTTCTACTGAGGCTGCTAATGACGTGGCCAAGTTTTATGCAACACACTTTCCTCATCACAAAACGTTTATAGGTTGGAATATTACCTCTATCGCTGGTTCTGTAACTTATTTTGCTACACCAACCATTAAGCCACAAGAACCAACTAATATGCACTTAACAGTAGTGCTAATCCTTATTTTATTTGCAGGTTTTCTCAAAATGTTGTTAAAATTGGCACTGCTCATGCAATTCATGCTTTATTTTTCTTTCAATTTATTTACAATCTTCTAAAGTTGTATGGAAACCTGGCTCATTTGGCCTTTTTAATAAAAATGTTTTACTGAATTACAGAAACAATAAAAAAGCATTAGCATTTGATATCGATTTCTCACTTTCACCCATCCTGCAGGTGATCATGGCTCAGATGGAGGTTTATGAGAAGAGTCTGAAGCAGGCACAGAGGTTCCTGCTGAGGAAGGCCGAGTGGGGGGGGGCCGTCCTGCCACAGCCGGAGGTAACATAACCATCTTAACATGAGTCTGTAACGGGTGAACTTATGGGCTTTATTATTTAGTTACTGGGTAGGATCTTGAGCCAAACAAAGGTCTGACCCTGCTACATTTTATGCTATATATTATATGCTTCATAAACAGTAAGCTCAGCTTTATTTAGTTATACAGCAGCTTTCACACAAATATGCAACATAAAGTGCTTCAAATTTTGAAAAAACAAACGACAATGGATACAACTTGCCAATCAATAAAATGTACAAAATAAATGTGTAAGAGCAGTGGCGGTTCTACAGGGTGGCACGGGGTGGCAGCTGCCACCTCAGAAAAATGCCTTGCCACCCCAGTTGGCAGCTTTGTTTTGAAAAAAAAGTTGTGGCTCATCGGACATTTATGAGAGAAAATCTCTAATGTCCGAGTGCAAGTGAATGCCGCACAAGACGCGAGCCTTGTAACCCCTCCCCCGGCCCTGGAACGAGCGTGGAAATATGATTGGCGGCGATTTCATTTGAACGGGGCAAAACGAGAAGCATTTCGTATCCAAGTAGACGGAAGGAATGAGGTATTTGCGGTCAGTGGCGGCGCCAGGGTATGGCTGGGGTAGGCTACAGCCATACCAAGAAATGGCTTAGCCCCACCATGAAAAATGATGTTAAGGTAAGCAAAATAAAGTCCGCCAACTCGCGCGGAGTAAATTGCACAGACAGCAGTTAGTAAGATTGATTTCAGTAGCCACTTGTCTGGAAATACCAAAGACTAGAAACGGTTTTGAAAACTTTTGTCACGTAGTGATCGTCTTCTCAATAGAACATTTTTGATAATGTCTTCTGGCCAATCAGAATCACGATAACGGCGTGGTGTTGTTGCAGGAAGTCCCGATACATCGATACAACATTACGTGTTGATAGAAATCAACACGTAATGAAATAAGACCCCACGGTTTGATGATTGATAGGTGTGTGGGCTGTCTTTCATTTTGACACACAGAACAATGGGGGCTATCCACCCTTATCCACAATGTAAAGTAATTCACACAGCCTCTTCCCTCTTCTCTCTGTGAGGAGCAGCAGGTTCAGCTTTCAGAACAAAGTAACAAAAAATTAAATACCATTCATTTTTTTAAATATGTCGTGTAGTAATAGATTTATTTATTTTTCTTCTCAAGAGAGTACCAGAATGTGTATTTTATGTTAGTATTTAAAAAAATCTCCTGGGGGAGAATCCCCCCAGACCTGCAGGGGTTGGATTTTCAGCATTTCTCCTCTTTCACTTGTGGGGAAATTGCAGGATTGGCTCCAGGTCGCCCTTTTTATTTACTACAAGACAAATGTGCCTTTTTATTTCATACAGTTCAATTTGGATTCCATCCATCCATCCATCCATCCATCTTCTCCCGCTTATCCGTGGTCGGGTCGCGGGGGTAGCAGTTCCAGCAGAGAGCCCCAAACTTTCTTTTCCCTGGCGACATCAACCAGCTCTGACTGGGGGATCCCAAGGCGCTCCCAGGCCAGCGAAGAGATATAATCCCTCCACCTGGTCCTAGGTCTACCCCTTGGTCTCTTCCCAGCTGGACGTGCCTGGAACACCTCCCTAGGGAGGCGCCCAGGTGGCATCCTAACTAGGTGCCCGAACCACCTCAACTGGCTCCTTTCGACGCGAAGGAGGAGCGGCTCAACTCCGAGTCCCTCCCTGATGACCGAACTTCTCACCTTATCCCTAAGGGAGACACCAGCCACCCTGCGGAGAAAACCCATCTCGGCCGCTTGTATCCGCGATCTCGTTCTTTCGGTCATGACCCATCCTTCATGACCATAGGTGAGGGTAGGAACGAAAATGGCCCGGTAGACAGAGAGCTTTGCCTTCTGGCTCAGCTCCCTTTTCGTCACAACGGTGCGGTAAAGCGACCGCAGTACCGCTCCCGCTGCTCCGATTCTCCGGCCCATCTCACGCTCCATTGTTCCCTCACTCGAGAACAAGACCCCGAGATACTTGAACTCCTTCACTTGGGGTAAGGACTCATTCCCTACTTGAATTTGGATTGAGACAGGGAAATAATCTAAACCTCACGTGTGGCGTTTCACTGTCAAGGGGAGCGTGTATGTAATTACATTGCAAATACTGACTTGAGCCCCACCACTGTATGGGTTAGCCCAGTGGTTCCCAAACTTTTTGTGCCCAAGGCACACCAAAGGACAAGTAAAAATCTCAAGGCACACCTATTGTGCAAAATAGCCCTTATAACACGTGTTATCACTCATATCATGTAAAATATCTGTAAATGTGCATAATTATTTACTAATGCCAAATAAAATGTGACAAAGACAACTATATTACTCATGAAATATTTATTAACGAAATATTTCAGAAATTAATTTGAAACTTTATCAAATTAGGCTTCATCAAAGCAGCAACACACTCCTTTAAACCAGACAGGTCACAACATTAAAAATGAGGCAAAGGAAACTCAGCAGAAATTCAGCACAGAGAACTGTCAATGCAAGGAAGCTGCACTGCATGGTCCTGAACTACAAATTATAAATGTAACATTTCAGCAATCAGCATTGAAACATGTGCTATTGTAAATATTTTTGCAGACTTACAAATGAGTGAGATACATGTGCCTGTCGGGGCGCGCAGAATTTTGTAATCTTTGGTGGCACTGAGGAGAGGGCCACTCGCAAGTCCTGTTCAACAGAGAGCCGTGACCTCCTGTTGTTCTTCATGTAAACCAGAGTAGAGAACGCCAACTCCAGAGATGGGGTCGTTACTAAAAAAATGTAATATATTACATATTACTTTTTTAAAAAAAAGTAATATATTACACTACTTCGTTACTATCTACATAAAGTAACTCGTTACTTTACTCGCCCGAGCACGTACGAACTGCGCATGCGTGAGTGGCAATAACTTTCCTTACCAGCAGGCGGCGGTAGTGTGTATTTGTCATTCAAAAGAGGCAACAACCGGAAAACAGAGAAGAAGCACAGACGACGTGATATAAACAAACAACAAATAGCGTGTGCGGTAGCTTCACCTTAGCATGTGTTATTTGCAGGTGTTTGTTGAGGTTTAACCACGTGGTGTTTCCAGCAGTGGATAACAGCTTCTGGCCTGGACACAGTTTGCACCTCACCGTCACATTCCTGTCTATTCTTCGGACGAACTCAAAGTAATGGGCATACTGATTCAGCCATATTTATGCAGCACTGCACGTGGAGATGTGGACGTGCAAATCGCGCAGATTAAGTACATATAAACCTACAAAGTACTTATATAGTAAATAAAAAAAGTATTATTTTTGTGTAGTTGTATATTGCAATAATAACGTATGGTTGTCACAAAATCCCACGGCACACCCGGACTTGCCTCACGGCACACCAGTGTGCCGCGGCACACCGTTTGGGAACCACTGGGTTAGCCCTACCATAGATTACCCAACAAAAATACTCTGGCGCCGCCACTGTTTGCGGTCTACAATGACAGAGAAGAGCCTGTCAAGTTTGGCTGTACTCGGCATTGAATCAAAACGCACCATAGCTTTAAATCTTAATACGTTTGTGAGGCGTTTTGCTGATCAAGATGGTAATCGCCACATTCAGCTGTTATACTGTAGGCATGCCAACTTGATGCTCTGCTCACGGATGAGTCGATGAGAATAATAAACTGTTAAGATGATGACCTTACGTGTGTATAATATTTTTCTTCTTTGTGGGGTTCTGCCCCCAAAAAACAGTTTCAAGTCCTGAGAAAGTCAAATAAGACGATGTGTAAAACTTCACTGCCCAGCCAACAGAAAGTAACCACTTTGATTTAACTAGGCCAGTAGGTAAGGGCTGTCCACTGGATAATAACTGCAGCGATGTATATGTTTTAGCTGAATACACGTTTTTTAACTCTAACTGATGCAGTTAGTCACTTCTTTAATGTTTGTTCTTTCTGATGTAAAGTCAAGGTTGTAACTGTTTGCAATGAAGTCGTGGGGCGCTAAACTATTCTTTTGATTTATGATAGTAATTACTTGTCTTTCAAATTTGAAGGAGGGTGAGCAAGCATCTTGAGGAACATGCATCATTATCTCCTACAACAAATATAGTTTATTTAATAATAACACTGAATATGTGAATGATAAAAGTGATTCTGATAGGAATAATATGATTGTTAATATTATCATATTCATACTGACACACATCGATGAGACAGTTAATTAATGTACTTATTGCAGCAGTCTGCATTGATTTGGTACCCCTGGTATTGTTCAGTTAAAATTCATTAAATGATGTCTGCCACCTTATATTTATATGTAAGGCTTTACTGATGTGCCACAATAATGTCACCTATGTTATTGAGTTAAAATATTAATATTGTGGCTTTCCAAGTTAACACTGATTGATATGACTGCGATTAAATCAGCATATACTTCTGCCAGGGGATGCCACCCCATGAATATTTTTCTAGATCCGCCCCTGTGTAACGGAGCGTCCACACTACAGCTTCAAAAAAAGCTTGGAGCTGGGCGTGTCTGAAGCTTGGGGATTTTATTCGAGCAACGCGACCAACAACCAATCACATGAATCTCCCGCCCCCGACATACAAAGCAAAAAACCCCGGGGATTTTATGCGAGCAATATATATTAGGGCTGTCAGTCGATTAAAATAGTTAATCGCGATTAATCGCAAATTAATCGCACATTTTTAATCTGTTTTAAATGTACCTTAGAGGAATATTTTTCAAGTTTTTAATACTCTTATCAACATATGAGTGGACAAATATGCTTTATGCTAATGTTTATAGATAGCTTGCACATCTTCCGGCGCAAACTGAAAACTCATCTCTTTCGACTCCACTTCGAGCGTTAGAACGATTAACGAAGCACTTTTATACCAATAAAGGACTGGCTTATCTAAAGCCAGTTGAGTAGCACTTGAAATGTTTGGCTCTATGAAACTTGATATACTTATATGATTCTGTTTTCTTCAAGGTTGTGTCTTCCTGGTCGAATGTACTTATTGTAAGTCGCTTTGGACAAAAGCGTCAGCTAAATGCAATGTAATGTAATGTAATGTTTATTATCATTTGAACAATGACAAATATTCTCATGAATATTAAACACAAACAACTTCTGAACATTACAAATATTCGCCTCAATTCAACCTGGAACCTAATACAATAAAAATGGTGTGTGTGTGTGTGTGTGTGTGTGTGTGTGTGTGTGTGTGTGTGTGTGTGTGTGTGTGTGTGTGTGTGTGTGTGTGGTGTGTGTGTGTGTGTGTGTGTGTGTGTGTGTGTGTGTGTGTGTGTGTGTGTGTGTGTGTGTGTGTGTGTGTGTGTGTGTGTGTGTGTGTGTGTGTGTGTGTGTGTGTGTGTGTGTGTGTGTGTGTGTGGGTGTGTGTGTGTGTGTGTGTGTGTGTGTGTGTGTGTGTGTGTGTGTGTGTGTGTGTGTGTGTGTGTGTGTGTGTGTGTGTGTGTGTGTGTGTGTGTGTGTGTGATGGATCGTTGGAGCTATGTGCAACTCAAGGCATATGCTCGAATGGGAGCTGCCTGGACACTGCAATCATGTTGCACTATCCGTGCTGAGTGTGCTGACTTCTCGTACAATGTCCCACTGTCTGGCTTCCTGCATAAAGTCAAGTGCTCGGCGCAGTTGTCGGCGAAATGTCGCTCCTCTGTTTTCATTTAAGCAGCTCCTTATATCTGTTAGCGCAGCTAGCTAGCACCAGATGCTAACAACAACAATGCACGTAAGGTCTCTCTCTCGCTCGCTCGGGCCACACATACACACACCCTCCCGGTCCTCCAGATGGCCAGTCGGTGAGTGTGGAAGTGTGGTCTTCCACAAGCGGGCGGCAGGAGCGGGGCTGTCAGCATCAGCTTGTAGATGGTATTTTAAACTCGATGCGCTCTGAAACTACGGGGCGGCCGAGGAAAAAAAATACACATGCGTTAATCGCGTTAAAATAATTAGTGTCGTTATTTTTTTTTTTTGCGTTATTAACGCGTTAACTTGACAGCCCTAATATATATATATATATATATAAACTCCCCAAACAGGCGAAAACCTACCAGTTTCACCCACTGTCTCTGCCACCTCCCTCCATGACTGGTTCTTCCGGTTTGTATCCCGGTAGGTGAAGAGGGTCTGGTCATACAAAACCGGGTGATTTGTTACGGCGATAATTAGTTTCTCCTCCATCTTTTTTTGAAATATAGAAATGAACGGCGGGATATCTCTCCCAGCTTAGACGCGGTTTGATTGGCTAGGGCTTGAGCTGTCAGATTTTCAGAAACGGGATTTGATTGGCTGGCGCTGGCTACTCCGGCATCAGAAGTTGAACATTGTTCAACTTCTGACGCCGGAGACGGACCGCTATGCTACCCACAATTCAGTTCGGTGAAAAGCGAGGCAACGTGACGTCACCCCATTCAAAGTGAATGGGCAGACGCGTTGGAAACCGTTTTTGAAGCTGTAGTGTGGACGGCCCGTAAGAGTCAATATAATAACATTTAAATAAGAACACCATGGATCATGAAATATATCTGATGTTTAAAACGGTACGTTGTGAGTCGGTTAACAAACATTTTTCATTTAATTCCATAGAAATCCCCTTCACCGGAGTCAGCTCCTGAATCACCTCCACAGCCGGTTCAACGAAGGTAAGGCAGCTCTTCTAATACGGGGATATTTCTCTGATATAATCCTGTTAGCCATCACAATCTACAGGATACAACTACCAAATGTAAAGGGACACTGGGAGGTAGCTCAAATGCTTGTATTTTTGTACTTAGAATACATTGAAAGTGTTCATCTCAGATATTTAAAATAACAAACACTGCGTATACATCATTATTTCCAGTCTTTGGAAAAAAGATAGACATTCAATGTCCATCATAACGCCGGCTTACGTATTGTAACCCTTGTTATATTAACACAGGCTCCGCCCTCTACTGGACTCTATGGGTACTACCTTATCATGCAAGCATTCACCTACTGAGATTTCTATAGACGTAGCCGGCCCCGGGGCGGGCCTACCTGAATGCGTGCGCATCTCACTTCTGTATAAAAGGAGGCCTCGCCTCCTGACCACCATCCTACACCACTCTTCAGCAAGCGGTATAGGACAGACAGTGCCCCAAGGTAGAGGGCTCCGCCTGTGTTAATATAACAAGGGTTACAATACGTAACCCGGCGTTATATCTCTCACAGGCTCCGCCCTCTACTGGACTCTATGGGTACAGTGGGCGTAGCCCCGATGTATGCACGCACTGTCGTCCAGCGCACCGTTCCACCTCACTGTCCCTGACCGGCTTTAGCAGCCGCTGCGCCTCACTCACCTCTCCCTCGGTTGTAACCGTGGAGAAATCCAGGCTGCGGCCGATAGAGCACACCCTGACGCGCTTGCCTCGCAAAAAAGTGTGCTCGAAAACAGTGCTGAGGGCTCCCCTGCGTCCGCTTATAGGCAGACGGGGAAAGTCTGCAGCTGTATGGGTTCACTATGCACCCTCTCTCCTGAGTCCCTAAAGAGCACGGGGAGAGCGCAAGTGCCCCCTATGCCCCCACACTCAGACACTGACCCCGTGCAGAGTGTGTACGGACTATAGTATGGAGGGCTCTCCCCCTCCTGCCCCCAGGCAGGCGAGGGGAGCCCTTTAGCCCTGTAAGGGCCCAAAGCGCATTACGTCACCCCGCGACCCTCCAGGAGTCCGGAGAAACGTAAGCGCATTTACGCCCGGGGAGGAGGTCAGATGCCCACTGATCCACAGACCCACAGACCCCCCCTCCTCACCAGTCCTGTGTTGCCCCAGCAAGCACAGACGCTGAGAAAGACGCCGCCGTGCATATGTCCTCCACACTCACACCGTTGAATAAAGCTGTCGACGCAGCCACAGCTCGTGTGGAGTGCGCACGGACCCCCGTGGGACAGGCTCTCCCTGCCTGTTCGTAGGCATGTGCAATGCCTCCGCAAAGCCAGCCTGCCAGGCGTTTCTTGGACAGAGCTTTTCCAGTCACCCCACCCCCGAAGCACACAAACAGCTGTTCAGTGCGTCTCAGGGTAGCTGTGCGCTCTACATAACATGCTAACGCGCGCACCGGGCAGAGGAGGTGTAATTTAGCTTCCCTGGCCCCACCATGGGGTGGAAGACTAAATCCCCCCAACTGAATAGCCCTCGACCTGAACGCACTCCTTAGGCTCTTGGGCACAAAGGAGGGGTTCGGTCTGAGTGTCGCCCCGCCCCGGTCACCCCGAATCAGTAAACAGCTCGGGTGCACCGACAGAGCGGTTAACTCGAATACTCTTTTGGCTGACGTTAAGGCAAGTAGCAACGCTGTCTTCCACGACAGTGCTTTCAGGGAGGAGAGCTCTAGAGGCTCAAATGGCTCTGTGACCAGAGCCTCGAGCACTAGCGGCAGGTCCCACTGCGGGATGGAGGCGCGTACTACTGGGCGCAGCTTCCTGACCCCCTGTAAAAACCGCAACATCAGTGGATGAGAAAAGGCTGACCTGCTGTTGAATCCCTCATGACAGGACGAGATGGCTGCTGCATACACTTTACAGTAGAATGAGCAAGTCCTCTGTCCACCAATAACTGTGAAAAGGACAAAATAGAGCCCAACTCACAATATAGGGCAGGCTTGGAATTTCGTCATTTTAGGGGCAAGGCCATTTGGCCTTCCCGTTCACATTTTTTTCAAGGGCACAAAGGCCGTTTGGTTAAATTACGCTGGTCAATCAACATGACTGAAAAGTGTAGCACTAACGTCAACACCAGTCGTTTTACAAATGGCTGAATAGCAATAGTGTTTCTTTAACGTATACGTTAAGTTCAGCCATAAACCACATAAGTCAGTCATGTATTATATCAAAACCGCTTAGCAAGAAAAATACTAGATTCAAAGGTGACAGCTATCTGCTAGCTTGTAGAAGCAACACTAGATGTAGACCCCTTGAAGGGAAGACGTTAGCGCTATCCAAACTAGCTAGCTATCGCTAGTTTTCATGACAAAATGTAACGAGTCGACTTTAAATAGGCTAATACAATGGTAATTACCTATCAATAGTACTTTCTATAAACACGTAAATGTTAAGTCCTTTCAAATACTACCACATACTTCAGTTAAATCATATCAAAACAGCTTGGTCCGCTTGCTTACCTGTGCTTGTCTTGCTCCCGCGGCTGAGGAGCAGGCTGTCGGGCCCCTACAGGCATTTCTGACGGAACAATCACAGCAGAGCAATCGCTCTGATCCACAGGCACGGGACTATCCTACTGCGCGCACTAATATGACTTTACTAGCGTTGTTTACACTGGAACTTTTGACAGGGGCACCAAGGCCACTTTGGCCGTGAATTGCATTTTTTTTCACAGGGCATCACGGCCAAAGTGCGGGGCAACGACGGCCATGGCCGTCGTGGCCGTCGTGAAATTCCCACCCTGATATAGGGGCTCTATTTTCCACTCCTCACACCATCGCTGGAATCCCAGCCACTTCGGCCTGTAACAGGCTGTGGTGGATCCAGCTCTAGCTGCCTGGATAGACTGAATAACGCTGTCAAACAATCCACCTTGTCTCAGCCTGTCCCTCTCAGGAGCCAAGTCTGGAGAGGACGGCCCAGAGTGGGTAACGCCCCGATTGCACCTGCCTCTTGAGACATTGCCCCCCAGAACTGGGGAATTGCCCAGGGCTGGCCCACCTTCATCTGTGTCATCTCTGAGTACCACGGAGCCCCGACGCGATCCGGCGCTACCAGAATGACTGCCAGACGTTCTCGCCTCACCCTCCCCAGGAGAGGGAGAATGAGACGCAGCGGTGGAAAGGCGTATAGCAGCTTCCTTGGCCATGGCTCGTGTGCAAACGCGTCCACCCCTAAAGGCGGGTCGTCGCTCAGGGCCATGGAGAACCACAGGGCACAGTGGCTGTTGCGCCGGCTGGCGAACAGATCCACTTCCACTCTCCCGAACTGGGCCCAGATCTGCTTCACCACCTCTGGGTGAAGCGTCCATTCGCCTGGCAGGGGCCGCCCCTCAACATGAGGTCGGCCCCCCTGTTCTCCAGTCCCGGGATATGGAGGGCTCTCAGAGATAACACCACCTCTGAAGCCCATAACCACAGCCTCTCCGCTGTGGCCAACAAGGTGGCGGAGCGGACTCCGCCTTGCCTGTTGATATAAGCCACTGTGGTGCTGTTGTCGCTCCTGACCAATACATGTCTCCCTTGAATTAGGGGCATGAAATGCTGGAGGACTAACACTACCGCCCGTAGCTCTAGGAGGTTGCTGTGTCGTGTTTCTGTTATGGCGCGTTTCCACTGCAGGCCTCGCTCGGCCACGCTCGGTTTGGTTAGGCCTTATTAGGCCCGGCTCACTTTAATGCTGCGCTTCCATTACAGTTTCGGAACTGGGGTAGTTACTATAGTAACGCAGTGTAGGCGGAGCTGTGACGTCATCTTCAATGAGAGCCCCAGAAAAACAACACAGCCGTTAGCTGTTAGCCCTCAGAGCTCACAGCTCTTCATATCTGTTCAGAAACTAGACAAAAGTTAAACAAGTACAAACCAAAGACTGCCTGTGTCATGGCGAATACAGTCGCTGGTTTATTTATGTCTGTCTAGGCCGTTGTTGTGAGTGTGGACGGTCGGAGCATATATAACGTTAGCTTAGCCAAGCTCCATTTAGAAAACACGCATTTTAAAAGGGTTTTTCGCCTGCCGTCTGTCTGCAGACTTGTCAAAGCATTAATTCATGGTTTATACTAACCGGTATCAGTATGTTGTTACTACGGCATCATTTTGAAACGTGTATTACAATTAAATCACGGTCAAATATGTTCATCTTGTTGTGGTTGTAGCCCCCTTGCCAGCGATTCTCTCTCTAGTTTAGCATACTCAGCCCGGCTCAGCCTGGTTGTTCCTGGCCCTAGAACCATGATTGTATGGGGCCAGAAAAACTGTGAATTAGGACCCGCTAGCCGGTACTAGGCCAAGTGGAAACGCAACCAAAAACGGGCCCCGCACGGCTCGGCACGCTTAAAGTGAGCTACCCACTGCAGTGGAAACGCGCCATTAGAGACCAGCGCCCACCTATAGCCCTCTTCAGGCAGGTCCCTCCCCATCCTGTTCCCGTGAACACTGTGATGTAGGAGGTTACCCGTCCCAGTGGAGACCCCCTCCGGAGGCGCCCGGGAGACCCCCAGAACCGGAGGTTGCCCTCCACTGAGGGGGGGATGGTCACCAGCCGCCGTTTGTGCCTCTTGGGATCCAAACGCAGGCTGGAGAACCACCTCTGCAGGCGGCGCATATGCAGTAACCCCTGCGGGACCACAATGTGAGCAGCCGTCATGAAACTCAAAGTCTGCATGACAGTTAAAGCTGTCACTGTCGCCCCCTGTCACAGCCTGTGAACCGCCCGGAGAAGGGACGCACTTCTGCTCCCTGACAGCGTGGCGCGTAGCGCACCTGCATTGAACACCACTCCCAACTACAACGCCTGTTGGTGAGGTATGGGGGTGCTCTTTTTTCAATTAATCGCAAAGCCAATTCAATTTACAGGTTCATAAAACTGGCGTCCCATATTCTCATGTACCCACTTGCTGATTTGTTCAACCTGTCTTTGTCCACCTGTGAGTTGCCGACTATTTGGAAATGTGCACGCATCATT